TAATAAATTAATAATCTATATTGGTATACTCGTTTTATTTCTTTCGATTAAAACAGATTGAACAGACGAAAGCCAAGCTCGATGCTGAAGTAAAACGTTTGAAAAAGGAATTAGAAAATACAAAGTCTACCACATCAACGAAGATCACGGATCTAACTACGGAGCTTACGGAACTTAAACGGGAGAGAGAAAAATTAACGTCGCAACTTAACAGTGAGAAAGAAGCGAAGGAAACCGAAGTAGAGACACTTAAGAAAAAGATAACTTCCTTAGAAAAAGCTGGGCAAAATACAAAACGCATGAACGAGATGAAAGAAACTTATAATGAAAAAATATCAAGTACAGTATATCACATGGGATTTGAAAATTTTATTGCTTTATTTCTGAATTTATTTCTCAAATTTATCGTGGACCTAACGTGACAAAATTTTCAGATCTCGAGAATGAGATTAAGAAACATCAGTACGAGCAAGAGACTCTTACCAAAAAATATCAAGAGCTTACGAACTCAAAGCTACAGGTTGAAAGGCAGAATGAATCTCTGAATAGGTAAACAGCAATTCAACACTAACGGTGTGAGGAGTAAGAATTCACTGCCAACAATATTGTATGCCTCATGTAACTTTCTTCATTTAATCTTACTTTCTATTGTAGCAAATGCTCGGAGCATAAGAGAGACTTGAAAAATATACAAACCGAACTTGAAGAGTTTCGTAATTCGTTGAGAACGAAAGAGAGTGAGTGGCGATTAGAGAAATCTGCTCTTGAGGTATAGAGATTTCATCATAAGATTATTATTAGTTATTATTATAAACCTTTGTTTGAAAATTCTTATTTCGTTGGGTTATAATTTTAGAGCCAAATTCGTGACAGTCAATTACCGAACAAAGTTATTGTAGAAGAATTAAACGATGAAGTTAATACATTGAAGAAAGAAAATTCCACCTTACTGGAACGATTGGAAGATGTGAGAAAAGTGGTACGTACATATTATCTATTGTATATGTTTAATCCTACTGTTTCAAGAGTATGCAAATCATCAATATATTGTCCACTTTTGGTTCTATATTATTTTGGATAAACTTCAAATTTAAATTTTTAATGTTACTCTTACTTAAAAAATTGATTTTAATTATTTTAATTTACAGAATGATGACTTGTCTACAAAACTGAAAGATTATCAGGCAGTTTCCAAGATTCATCAAGCGTTAACACCTGACACCACGGCATTGGAGTCGGAAATCCGGAAATTAAAGAACGCTTTGGCAAACATGGAAAAAGCCAAGAAAGCAGATCTAGCGCAGTGTAAAATGCGCTACGAACATAGAATTACGGCGATCAACGACGAAATACAGGCAATCCAGAATCAATTATCACGGTACAAGCGCGAACGAGATACTTATAAGCACATGTTGGAAGGCGCGCAAAAAACTATAGGCGAGTTAAAGTCCACGAGACAAGGTAGACTCTCTAATGCATCCTCAGGAAAATCGGATGAGGTAAGTAGTTAATGATATAATTTAAAATTAATTAATGTATTTTATTAATTAAAATTAATAAAACACATAAAAATTAATTAATAAAATTAATTAAAATTAATTAATGTGTTTTATTATACCAATATCTTTGAATTATTTTTTTAAAGATTTTGACGATATTCTTAAAAAATTGTATAATTTTTACTGTTTTCTATCCTCTCTTTACTATTAATTCATTTCCTATAATATCAAAAAATATATTTTCCTGTTATTCTAGGACGAAGAATCGTCAAAAGCTAATATATTAGTACTAGAAAAACAAATCAGTTGTATGGAAGACGAACTTTCCGAAACAAAACTGGAAGCTTCTAGGTTGAAAGCTGAATTGGTTTCGGAAAAATCAGCTAGTCACGTTAAAGTCTCTGAACTGCAATCCCGAATTAATGAGGTAATTATATTAGATTTATTATATGCGCGCGCGTGCGCAAATAATAAATTTCCAAATATATCATTATTTGTTACGATATTGCAGTTGGAGGAGGAGCGGTTGCTCACTAGCGGACGCTCAAAGATTCCAGGATTGAAAGTACGTATGGAACTGGCTTGGCAAAAAGAAAGAGAAGAACATCAAAGATTACTGCAAGAAACGGCAACGTTAGCACGAGATTTGCGACAGACGCTATTCGAGGTACTGATTAGCAGTTTATCAAGTAATCACGATGACATAGTAAATTCAGACTTTTTACGTTTCTACGAGCGTTGTTTTTTGCAGATAGAAAGAGAGCGCAGCAAGGAGCGGCTTGAAAATAAAAGGAGACAAGATCAGCTAAAAAAAGTGTTTGATGAAGAGAAGGATGAAAACAAGAAAAAATTATCGGAGGTAACTAAAATTTGTATACTGCTAAATCTAAATATTCATCTGCACTTTGAATATAAAGTCGTCAAAAAATTGGTCATTTTTTAAAAATTGTAATTAATCAATTTTAGTTGCAATGCGACTTACTCGAGCTGCGTGACGCGCACGCAAAGTTACGAACGAGCAACGAGAAAATGAGACGTGAAAAAGAGCGGCATGAGAAGGAGAGGCAAGAACTCAAGGAAATTATATTAAATAAATGCAAATTGGAGCAAACTGAACTGCGGAACATTAATATTCTTATGCAACAAGTACAAGATTTGTTGCAGCTGTTTCCTGAATTAAATACCGTAACGGAGAATGGAACGCCCGATGTATACACTCCAACACCGCCGAGACGATTGAAGGTACAATGTGGATATTGATTAGAATATTAATAACGACATAACATTATGACAATTATTAACATCATCTAAAATTATAAACGCTTTAAAAATATATAATTATTCGTAGGGACCAAAATCTAGGGAATCATCACCAATGTTGGAAACAAAGAGCGACGTCAAAGGTATTCTGAAATAAAACTTTATGGATTTTCATTATATATATAAATAATTTATTGTTAATGTCGTTTCAAATCGCGCAATCGTGTTTGCAGTCGTAACTCCAATACTCGGCGAAAGAACCGAAAAATTAGAATACACTATTAAAAAATTAATGGATGTGGCGAAGGAACTTAAGGAATCAAAGAAGACGGCAGATGAAACGAATGTAATGCGATTGAAAAAATTAGGCAAGAGGTGAGCTTTTGCGATTTATAATTCATCTGATTTTTTTTGCCAAACCAGTGTGAGAACGTGAAAAATATTATGTTGCTGTATTTTAGAGCGACGTCTGTAGAAAGCGATCCAGGTAAAGGAGTAGTGTTAAATCGCGGGAAACCACGTTTAAAGAGAAAGAGTCTCTCTTTAGAACAAACGACAGGGCGTCAAGAGGTAAATACAGGAAGTCATATACAGAAAGTCTCTTTGTAAAGTACAAATTCACCTTTGACTACTGTTAACTTTTGCATAAAATATAGTCTCCAGCTATTTGGGGCACGGACAGCAACTTGTCGAGCATGCAATCGTTGGAGGGATCGGAAGTCGAGTCTCGCGGAAATAGTCGACAGAGAGATTCCAGTGTAGACAGGTATCGAAAAAATTACGTGAATATCTTTTGACGCATAAAATAATGAATATACTTGATTAAATGATACTTGATAATTATTATATTTAGCCGCCTTTCCGGAGGCTCGACAAAGAGCGAAATGTTAGAGCGGGATAAGAAATATGGCAAGGGCATAATACGAAAATTAACGCACAAATTAACTAAATCGTCCAGCGTCGACGACCCGAACATGACCGACTATTCGCTTCAGGCAAGAAGACATTTAAATATTCGGAATTATTTTTATTTGAATAGAACGTTATTTATTAAAATGATTGAATACTTGACAGACATCTGGTTCTGAAACCAGCATCAACGAAAGTCTTAAGACGGAGAAAAAGAATTTAAAGAAGAAATTAACAGCGATGTTTAAAAGAGGTTCAAGAAGCAGCAGGTACGTAAAAAAAAAAAATTAAATATTATATATATAAATATATAAAAATAACTTACTATTAAAAAACAAAAATAGCAATATCTAATAAATAGTATACCTTTTCAGCGTAGAAAAAAAGACTGGAACCGGCAATTCTAGCAGACCTGCTTCGAGGAACTCCATGACATCGGATTAATACTCCTGCATGTGCGATCTTATCAAGAGACTATTTTGACTAGACGTCATGATTACTTCCCAAGGGAAAGAGAGAGAGAGAGAGAGAAACATTACATTCGATGACACTGTAATAAAAAGGCGGACTGCTTAAACTCGTATTTAAATTATTATATATCGGGATGATTTTGTTAATAGAAGAAGTAACACGTACACGTGTATCCTCGTATGTCGATAGCATCCAATCGATTTACTTAAATCCTTAAATTACGATAACGTGTTAATATTCAGAACAAGTAATCCCCGTTTAATATATCCACTTTACGAAAGTTTTTCACAGATAAGAGATGGCTCGTGCATGAACATGAGTGTGTGTAAAATATACATATCCTTTGTACAATGTACAATCATTGGAAAATATATAATGTATAAAGTTTCACTGTCTGTATATCTCGGAGTCATTTGAAAAATACCTTGAATCAGATTGCAAATCGTGTTAGATTTGTTGACATGCTCAGAACTGCTTTGAATCACAGTTCAAATATCATATATTTTCAGTCTATATTACAGATGTATGTACATGTATGCAGTGCGAAACAAGTGCATAAATATTAATTAATCAAACAATATATGGAACAGTCTTAGTTGGACATAAAGCATCTTGAACGTCCTTATATACAATTATATTGTGTACTCGACAGGTATTTTCATCACACGATTGTAAATCGATTTATCATTTATATTACTCGAATCTTCAATAGATAAAATGAACGAAAATCAACGTTTCGAACGTTTCTCTTTCTTAGACTTTTTCTTGTGCTTGGGGCTCTTATGGTCTTTATGCTTATGTTTCTTCTTCGATTTTTTCACCTTGTCTCGTTCCACCCACTTTCCACCGAGTTTCAAATCATCCGTGCTTTTCGATACCACGACACTTCGAAATACTGGCTTCAACATTTGGTTAGTGTTATCAGCTTCTAGCTGCATCGTTGTTGTAGGGTTGTCTTGTTTCAATAATCTCTGTGGCAGAACGGGACCATACATATCTGGCACCGCAGTCTCTACGTTCTCAGTTACGTCGTTACGATCCGTAGGATCGATTTGCGATTCACCAGTAATTGGCAAACTGGTTTCCGAGATTTTAGACGTCGCACCTTCGTCATTAACGCGTTTCGGTTGCGTCACCAAGCTGTCGAGATCTAGTTTCGCGAAGATACCTCGCGGCGGCGACGTGTTGCGTTGCACATTTATCTCCTTCAGATCTTTTCCGATCAAAATCGATTTGACAGCCTCACTGTCGACATTGTCCTCCGTCTCGCTGTCGGAATCCTCGCTGCTGCTGAGGAAAATCGCCTTGAACAGATCCTTCTTTTCTTCTGATTGATCTTTGAACGCAGACATCGGCTCGGGAGTTGTTCTTTCTTTCTCTTTTACTTCCTGAAGTGTTTCAGGTTCTAAATTATTTCTCACATCTTGTCCGACATCTTTTGACGTTGCAGAGGGAATATTTTGAATACCCTTGCCAAAAACTTTCTCATAGGAAGCTTCGAAGATTCTAAACTTCTCAGAGACAGGCTCCGAAGGTTGATAGATGTTAGACGGAATATTATTGGGACCAGTGCTGGAAATCGTTTCGTTTATATTTTCTTCCGGTTTCCTCGACGGCTGGAGGATTTCCTCCACTTGTGACTCAACCGTATCCGTAGCTTTCGTGAATTTCGATGTACTGCACCAGTCTAAGGAATCAAAGACCGAAAATCTCGCCGCTTTCCGGTCCGTCGCGATCGTCGCACAACCGACCTTCGGTTCGGGAATATTGAATCTCTTGCAAACGATACTAGCCGGCTTCCATTCGCTCCGCTGTCGCGTAAGTTTGCCGAACATCTTCAATCTTACCGCTTCCTTCACGTCCTTTTCCGGATCCGTTCGCTCCGTTGTATCGTCAGCGCTGTGCACAAATTTATCCGCCATATAATTATTCGCGCGCTCCAATTTTGCCGCCTGCTCGAATTCCTCGCGCTCTCGCTCTCTCTCCCAATCGGTCATAGAAAGTGGTTGAATGCTTTCGAACTTGTCCGTCTCGCCGTTCTTCAAGAAGATAAGATACTGCTCGAATCGTTTCTGCTTGTCCGGATCAGACAGGAACAATTTCTTCGTTTCATTCTTATCCGATGAATCACCTTCCACTGATTTATCCGTGCTTGATTGCGTAGATTCTTTAAAATCTTCCAGTTTCTTTAAACCACCCTGTCCGGAATCGACAATGCCGCCTTTGACAAAGTTTTGCGCGTTCAATTTGTCCAGCCAAGAGTTGCTCGTCGTCTTCTGCTGCTTCTCCAATTGTCTTCTCTCTTCCGTTTGTTGCTTGCCATGTAAATTCAAGGTTTTCGAGATAATATTAGAGGCAACGGATGCGCTCGATGGCACCTGTGGCTTCTTCGAACGTTCGCCAGAATCCTCTAAGATCCGCGCTCTGTCTGTGGCATTCAACGGCTCCTTGCGTTTATTACTTTCTATCGGGGTTGCAATCGGCGGATAAAACCTACTTTTCCTAACAGCGTGTACCGGTGCGAAATTCTTTGGCAATTCCGGAGGTTTGAAGACCTTCTTGCTCTCCAGTTTCTCCTTCGCGCAAGTAAAACCCTCGACACAATCGGTCTGCGAGCTACTCGGTTCGTCCTGAGACCATCTTGTCTTTGTCTTACGTTCGGGGCCCAAAGCAAAGTCGTAGCGCGACATGTCTTCCTTCTCGTATATATCCTCGTCGTCAGCCTCAAAGGCACCGACTCCGAACGCCTGGCCGCGAATCGACAATTTCTTGTTTTTATCTCGAACGCAAAACGCCGGGGTGTCGAAAAGGTTGATGTGACCGGAGAGGACTTTCCGCCTGTCTAGACCCGAGTAGCCGATGCCAAAATAATTGTCTTTCGGTTTACACCGGAATGGCTCGTAATCGTCGGGTGCAAAAGTAATATTGGTGGAGTCGTCGTCCGAGTCCTCAGAATTGCTCTCTGCTCCCATTTCAAGATTATCCTGTGCCAGTTTTAATTTTTCATTACGCAACTTGATCTTCTGCTTTTCTTTCTTTGTCAGTCTGGAACCGACGCCTTGACCAGGTTTCCAGCCCATTTTCTTAAGTAGAACGATACCCACTGTTTCTCTGTAATTACAACAATATTAGAAATCAATATGACTTTGTTTAAATATAAACAAGAAGTATGCATATAATATGAATATAAATCAAGCATGCATCAGTAAACAATTAATTTCCTGCTCTTTCTCCGACAAAAATATGCCTTTGACCATTTAAAAGTTACAGAAATTGTTAATTTTTACAAATACTAACTTGACAGGTTTCAGAAGCTCTTTCAAGATAGGAGTACCAGGGATAGGACCTTCTTGACTTATCCTTTCCCTCTTCTTTCCCCTCTGTCCGTGATCGTCATAATCGCTGGTGGCACGAATGCCCTTGGGAGCAATCCCGAAGAGACTCGTGTCCTCCTCGTCCATAAAGTCTTCCGGTCGTTGAACGACGTTGTCCGCCTTGCTGCTCCTGGAAGACTTGAACTGCTGCGGCCTCCAGCCATCGCGGGTGCCGACGGTGTTGAAGTATCCCGCCGAGAAGCCGCCCGTGAACGCCCCGTGAAACCTGCGTCTACCCTGGGCGTCGTAGGCGTACTGATCCTCGATCGTGACGGGCTTCTTTCGCGGGATGTTCTCTGCGAGACCGAGAATTATTTCCGATATAACGCAACGCAAAATTATTTATTCTTACGCGCCGTAATTTATTTTGTTTGCGTTTACCTTCGTCCAAGGGGTCGAGAGGAACGCCGAACGTCGCGTAATTCTCCTCGTCCGAATCGCCCATTTTCGAGAGAGAAATCAAATTCTCGCGACGTAATCTCTCTCCGTTTGACTCGGTCAAGCGCGACAACTTTAATCAAACGCTCCGCGACCGTTGAATCGCAGTTGAAATCACGCGGAGTGATTGAGGTTAGAAGACAGACATCACATCGTTTGACGACTCGACGAGCACATATACATACAGAACTCAGCAGACGGCTCCGCCGGCCGTGAATGCGCGTTCATTGGACGCAACCACATCAACGCCACACTTCAGCTGGGACAAAAAGAGCAAAGATTTCTTTTCCCCGATTGGCCAAGCCCCACGTGATCCCCCATGCGCCTCCGATCCACGATAATGCGAATGTTAGGTTAAGTTTATCTGATTTTCATTGATCTTGCTATTCCGCGAAAAGTGGAACGCTCGACGATACGAGCATCCACATTATCGCTTTCCGAGACTGCTTCGAGAGATGTGGCTAACGTAGATAATCCGTCCTTATCTCTAACCTTGAAAAAAAACCACAGGTGCAACCGCTTGGACGTAGCGATCGCGCGAGGTCACCTCGTGGAAATTTGATCTCGCCTCGAGAACAGGAATATGCACGTTTCGTCGGGATACTCCTTAGCGATCGCACGGTAGAAGCTCGAATAACCCGAGACTGGCACACTCGGCGACATGGCGATGTTTAATTCCTTCCGCTCGGCGCGGAGCAAGCTAGCAGTGGCCGGTAAGCGAATTGGTGACTTGTGAAAGATACCGAATCTCCTGTCATGCATCACGTTTCGTCTCGCCTTGTATTTCCTCCCACGAAGGGATCTTTCTCTCTATGATTTTTTTTTCGCGTTGTCGAATTTCTTTCGGTTCGATCGTCGTTCGATCAAGTCCGTTCCATTCCGTGAATACATTTTCGCATTGAGAGCAGGAGATTATTGCGTCATTTTGTGTCTCGCTCTTGCGCGGAGACATAACCTCGCGTGAGGACGCGTTTTCGAGAATTGAACGACGAGAAGCTGCGTGTCGTGCAACCCGAACGGAGACGTGTCGGAAGCATGTTAAAAGTCACCGGTGACGGCTAGCAAGAGGAAGAAAAAAACCCTCGTTTTTTTGGGAGATACTTGTTTCTTTTTCAAGGACGACAACAGGAAAAATATACGTATCTGCGTATTTCTTTGATGGAAAGCTCGTAAACACGTGATTGAACAACCCCGAGAAGGAACCAGGAACAGAAAGGGTAAATGTATGTATGTATGTATATATAGAAGGTACATGGAAATGTTTCTTGAAGAATAATTTTAGCTGCATTTTACATGTTCTCGCCATCGTCAGCTTTACGAGCATGTTGACGCGGGTATTCGTCAACCGGGTCACCGACCTTCTCGACGAGTGTAAAACTACGGAAATCATACAACTTTTGAAGGAGGATCGCCTGATCACTGAAAGTGGCTTGAGCGACATCGTGTCTGCCGTCGTTCCGAATCTCACGAGCTCCGCGTCACGACAGAAGAAAGCGTCGTTTGATTGCTGTTCAAACGTATTGACGTTCATAGCTGAGAATTGTGAGGCCACCGTAGCCGTAAACGTATTCCCGAAACACTTGAAGCACGCGAGCGATCATGTGCATTTCTGTACCATCCTGGATGCAATGCGTTCTTGCCTGATGAGGATAGAAAGGAAGGATAGAGTAATTTTTCGGTGCTTGAAATCCATCAAAAGCTACAATAAAGCTCTACCACTGCCAGACGAAATTGATGATCCGGATGATCCAGTGATCGACAGAATTATATGTACGTATAAGGCAATCACCCTGTTCTTAGAACCGTTGATACGAGAGGCGAAAGATATCGATTCTAAGGAGAAAAAGGACCATGGACTCGGGCTCGGGGATCATCTCGTGGGCTTTCTTATCTCTCTATGTGAAAAACCCCTTTGCTGCTTGGACAAATACATAGGCGAAGAAACGGCGTATAAAGAACTCGTGGATATTATAGTGACACACGTACTTCACTTCACCGGAGATATATTATATTTTTTGGATATTGTCGGCAAACGTAGTAGAAAACTTATTTCCGTTAAACCGCTACGTAAATACCGTCAAAGAAACAAGGAACTTTCTTCGCACAGCGACAAGCCCTGCGACTGGACTTTTAATGTATCGAATACAGAGTATGCTAATTTTTACTTTTATATAATTACCAAAGAGAACAATTGGATAAACGTACCACAAGTATATAATTCTTACTACGTTCTTGAGGCGTGTACATATTTTTTCAAGATATTGCTAAGCGAAGATTATTCAATCCACAATGGATTAATTTTCATGGAAAACGTTGTAAAACGGATTCCACGTCGCTCCGTAGATTCTGAGGTGTTAAGACTGGATATATATACAGAGTTGTTTCAACCTATCATTAAAGTGATGATTTACTCTGATAATGATAAGCAACGGAAGAAGGCAGTACGTGTTTTTCAAGACTATATCGAGTTGTTTAACTTGGAAGCTAGATACACTATTATGTTGTATTTATATGAGATTGCCGAACATTCTGGTCTGTTGAGCTTCATCACTGGCATTTTTAAATCTTCCATCATCGAATGTCTCGATTCAACTCCACGAAATCCCCAGTTTCTCGGAAGGAATATGGAATTGTTATTGAAAAAGGTTTGCAGTCTGCCACACGGAAGTTCGTCCGATGTCGTGGAAATATCAGATGAAATCATTACTGCACTGAACTTGCTGAGATTCTTGTTTATCAGAGATAAAAATAATGAGACGGGCGCTTGGAATATGATAAATATGTTAAAAAAGGATTATCTGAATCCGTTGAGAGAAGGCATAGACTTGTGCAGAGCACATTGGAGAGTGAAGACGAAAGATTTGGAGCAACAGAAAAAGGATTTAGCTAAAGAACAAGATTACAGCAAGATAATGAAGGCTCATATGGAAGTTGCATTGACCGTTGGCGGTGAACAATTACCAGTTATGCCGATCGCTGAAAAAATTTCCATTTGTTATCAAGTGATAAATGGTTTAGATGTAATGGAAAGTATTCTTATACGAGTTAACGAATGCATAGACATGAATGAAAAATGTGTGGAAAAGTCTGATGGATGTACTGAGTCGAAATAAGATCAATCAATGAAAATGTCATGCTATTGTAAAGTTGTAATTGTTGTTTAAGATTTAATAAAACCTTTTTTTTTAAATCTATGTCTTTTATTGATATCATTAGGCATGTCTGTGATAAATTATAAATATTACATGAAATTAATACTAATAATTATACTAACATTAGCAATTCCTATGTCTCTTACTCTTATGTAGCATACATTTAATGCGTATCTAATGTAGATAATTTTAAAAGTAAATATTGATTTTATTAGGTTTTAGACGTTTATGGACTTGTAGGGCTTTGCTGGCCGATCAGTCTGAAAATGATAATAGTAGAAAAGCAGAATCGCAGCAATCTATTCATGAAGAGAACGACGAGGAGTATGAGAAAAATATTAAGATAAAAATACTTGACGCTTCTTTAAAATTTGTTCCCGACGTGGGATGGAGCAAACAGGCTATCAGTGCTGGTAAGTTTAAGCCAATTATTTTTTATTTGCTACCTTAATTTTTATATTATCGCGATTTACCGTGATATACGTTATTTTTATTGTACATACAAATTAAATAAAAATAATCTAACTGAAAGTTATGATGCCGAAGGTGCTGAGTCGATCGGATATCCGGGCGTGATACACGGATTATTTCCAAACGGTAGCGCGGCTTTAGTACAGTATTTTTATTCTACGTGCAACCGGGAATTGAATCAAATTCTGGAAAAAGAGGCGCTAGCCATCAAAGCAAATTCCTCGAGTTCACAGAAGACGCCGGAACAACAGATTTACGATGCCGTGGAAATACGACTGAGAATGGTGATCCCCTACAAAAAAACCTGGCCGCAAGCAATGGCTATTATGTCCCTTCCGCCGAATGTACCGACCGCCTTGGCAAATTTATTAACTCTAGTCGATGATATCTGCTACTACGCCGGCGATAGGTCCGTTGATGTAAGTTATTGTAGATGTTGCTCTTTATCTGTATAAGAACGATTTTATTTGGATACGTGTGCCGTTTAAACAAAGTACATTACTTCGATCAGATTAACTGGTATACCAGGAGAATGATATTAGCGGCTATTTATAAAGCCACTGAATTGTACATGTTGCAAGATACAAGTGAAGACCATAAAGAGACTTGGTTGTTCCTAGACAGGCGAATAAAAGATACTTTACAAATACAAACACTGCTGTTCAACTCAACCAAGCCAGATGAAGCCTTAAATCGTGTTACAGAGACGGCTACAACTGTTTTTATAACGGTAGATTATTTCCGATAGATTATAATTAAAATTGTAGGTCATCTCTTTGATATACTGTATATATAATTATTTTTTTTTGTTCTAGGCTCGCAATATACTTGGATTGAATAAATGAAAGCAGCTAAAACAGATTAATAAAAGAAGATTTTAGGAAACGAGAGGTTCTATGAATGTTCTCAAATAAGTGTAATTAAAAATCTTTTATTAAAATTAAGAAAGAAGTTTATTTGGGAAAACCTAATTTTCTATTAAAAAACCAAAGTTAAGAAAGGAAACATTAGCACATAGAGCTAATTTATTTTACACAGTAATATATTTTAACAAAATCTGTACAATAAAATAGGTAGCAAATCTATATTATCTTCATGCAAAATATAAAGATATAAATGTTGATTACTGTATCAACATTTTTTTTAACAATAGATTAGAAAACAATTATTCGTTTACCCTGCATATTATCATAATTAAGTATAATCATCGATCTGGAATCAGCTATATAAAAATCCTACTGCTCTTCACATTTTGCTATCATAAAATAGCAGAAAAAGTTAAAATCTTTATCTATGATAATTAACTTACAGAAATTTTATTGCAAATTTCTCCTTACGTAAACTTGTAATAAATATGAAATATTCTCTTTTCATATATATTCAATAAAAATAACATATAATACTTAAAAAATAACGTTAACATTCAATTTTTTAATAATTTACAGTTATCTGCTCAACATTTTTTTGATATTAGATAATGATACATCATGATTTGAGAAAAATATTTCTGAAAATATTTTTGCAAAGTATAACATTCGTACTGAAGATAAAAAAATTTTTCAAATTTATATATGTATATGGGTGTACATGTGCGTACACACATACATACTTTTGCTGCCATTTCATCATAGAAGTCTATTCTCGATCTAAACCACTCTTTTTATTAATATAGATATATCTTGATAAAAATAATTTCATTATTATAATCTCAACATTCTTTATTTCTTTATATCTGTTAAATTTTAATAATGCGCTTCTTGAATATATCCTTTGATAGTTTTTGGCAAAGGCAACTTGTGTATATTATCTAATCTAATATACTGACGAATGACAAAACGACAAAGATATTGCAGACTCCTTACTTGAGTAAATCTGCTCACTGGTTTCGTTAATCTGACCGGAAACGACGGATATCCTGGATATTTTGGCCTCGAATAACAAATTACAGCGGATTGGCTGAAATTCATGGAGTGATTTATTAACGCAGCCACCGAAGTGAAGCCTTCGTTCTCGGTTTGATTGCACAGAGAAAATAGGCCGCCGCTGTGTTCCATACGCGCATGCAGCATCTTTCCAGATGACTTAAAGCTGAGTGTTAGGACGTATCTACAGAGATAATCATATATAGAAGTTTATTTTAGCATCTATGAAAATATAAAATCTTGCAAAGTCAAATTATCCGATGTATATACCTGTCATCTGACGAATCCCGAACCAGAAATGCACCATCTGGCTCAGATATGAGTTTGGCATCAGCTTCGTCTCCTGATATGGGACCCCAGTACCATCCATATTTGCTTAGATTAAGCAGCTCCTTCGCGAGGCTCGCTTTGACTTTATGTTCGTTATTTAACGTTTCGTTCACCCCAGGAGCATCTGTTATTGCATTAAAAACTGCCACTGTTGCATCAGAATAGGTGGGTTGCGTTGCTTCGCCGACAGTTCCAATGTCGCTTGTCGATTTATTTTGCTGTCTTGTAGGAACTGTACGAAGATTTGGGCCAGTTGTACCATATCGCATGCTGTTAGCTACACTCTCCTCGATGTGGCAGGAATTTTCGAGCACGTCACCTAGTCTGGTTTCACACAAAAATCGTCTGTCCGACGAGGCCTGCTCGCTATTCGAAGCATCTCGCTTTTGGCAAGAATTAAGAGACTCAATAACGGATATAACGTTGTTCTGCTTCGTACCGGAGCAAGAACTCGTTGTTTCTGTCTCTTTGCTCTGAAAAAGAACGAAATGAGAGAGGATTATTTCAGACCAGACACATGTCGCGCAAAAGGAACAGAGAGATCATCGCGGAGGAAGAGTAAAGAAGAGATCCCCTGCTCCAGACAAAGGAGGGAATGAAGAAGTGCGGAGGGAAAAAAAAACGCCTACCTTCTTCTTGGACTTGCATAGATTCTTCAATAACAGGTGTTTCTTGACGTTGCACACGAAATCGAGGAACGACAGCCTGCTGCCCGACGGGCCTCTGAATCTGTGCACCTCCGTCGACCTGGTGTCGCTCATCGGGTCCTCCCTCTTGTACTCCTGACGCCGATTACTCTCGCACCGTCGGAGAAGCGTCGCGAGCTTCCCGCCTGGGTTTCCCCGCCTGGACTTTCGTCGCGCGCCCGCTTGCTCCGCGGCGATGCCCGCGGTCGACTCCGGGTCCCTGCTCTGATCTGTCATGCTTGTGCGCGGTAGTGTCCGTGGGGTCCTCGGAGCGAATTGTTCCACCCGCCGTTCCTGCAGCCGCGGCACTCGCACACGCCATCTATTTCACGCGGCCGGCGTGCTCGCGATTACTCCGAAATTATCTCGGAAAACCAGGCAGCGCAGCGGATTGTCAAAAAATTCCGTCGGGCAGACACCAGTAGAAGATGTCGCTCGCCCTTTTTTGTCGGGGTGCCGTCTAGTACTCCGAGCACCCGACAGAGCACACCACACCTCAAGTTGGCGAAACATATACGTTAGATTTATCTCCAACGATGAACTTTCTATTGGCGTTTTCGGACGGAGCGGGTTTGATCGCTCCGAGAGCGATTAATAAAACGTCATACGCTCCTCTCGTCTAATGAGAAATCTAAAATAGAGCAAGTGACGTCATTAATCGCTCTCGAACTCGCTCCGTCCGAAAACGCTATGTCTAATTGGAGATTCCGATCAACTTAATTAAAAATTAACAAATTTGTCCGATAAAATTTGGATACATGATGATTGTTAATTTTTTATTGTTTAACACCTGAAAAAAAAAGATTAGATAAAGTTAGAGGATACAGAGTCGCTGAGGAAGAAATTATAAATAATTTGTCTTTGGCAGGAATTTTAATTTATGTCGCGATTCTTTTCGGGGAAAAAAAAATGCGCGCGCATTATTATGAGACAATTATGATTATATACAGTAAACAAAATTATGCGAAAAAATGAAATAATAATTGAAAACTTAGGACACACATATATATATTATAATTAATATATACATATCAGGACATATAATTATGTCTTATTTTTGAAACAATTAGTAAGTTTGGAGTTTTAAATGAAAAATATATATTTAAATTTATTAGAGATACATAACGTAGAGATCATCAATGAGAAACGACAAGATCAGAGACTTGAATATATATGTATTTTCCTAATTTTCTTGTAGAAATTTCTATATGATCTAGGAATTTCGATTTATTTCCAGCATTTCTCGTATGCTCATATATAGAAGCGCGCGGTTTAGAAAAGATCGATTATATTTTTGTTATTCATATACTCTTGCGCGTTTATATACTGGTTTATACGGCGCACCTTGTTCAGCAACTTCGACGGTACATAAGGCCGCGCAAGGCCGTGTACTTTTCACAGACGCATGATGAGAGCCCGTAGAAGAAATCGTAGAAACGGCGAGGGATCAAGGGTGAAAGGTGCGAATGTCGCTTCCGCCAAGTTTCAATTTGTGTATACAAACGCACGCGAGGAGATTCGGACTTCATTTCGCGTTTGTGAATAGCTACTTCGCGGCGAAAGGAAAAACGTTATATTAACCATCGATTTCACCAACCTTTCTCAAGACAAGTAGCAATCATTGAATCTTCGGCGCCTTTAATCTTTCCCTATTTCCCGATCAATCTGTTGATAACTATCGAATCGCAAATTTCTAATTTTAATGAGCAATTGATTCCACAGGTCGCGAATTCAGAACTTGCAATATTTGAAAGAGAGAGTATGGATAAAGTCAGATTTATATGTATATCTAAAAACTCAGCATCTCTCAGAATTATTTCTCGCTAAAAATCAACTGTAAAAGTTTATTGCAAAATCGTTTTGACACACTTGTATCGGACAAATTAATTTCTTACAATAATTATATGTAATTAAATATAGTAATATTGTATATATAATTAATTTCTTATAGGGTAACTGTCCCTATTAGTGTGCTCTGTACCTATTCATAAAAATATGACTTAATGAAATATAAAAGCACACTAATAGACAGGGGACAGTTACCCTATATATTAATGTTTATTATTATATATTATTATATTGTTGTAATAAAAAATTAATTATTATTGAATGTATAACCAACTACACTCATGACGTGCGAATGTTTATTGTTAGATACGAAGCATGTGCGTTCCGAATACGCCCCCGATCGAGCTCCCGATATACGCACGCATATTCACGCGTTATAATATAGGGCATTCATGATGCGGCACGCACGTTTACGAGCTTGGACGGATATCGAACGCCGCGAGGTATAGCGATGCGTTATGCAACCGATCGGGACATACGTGCGACGCGATCGGCGTAGAAATGCGCTTTCTAATAGGTCTTCGTTATTTATAGGCGGGGAAGGAAACGCCGGCGACGTCGACGCCGCGCGCGTCGTTGAGATGTCTTCTGTCAACGACGCTCGCCGGCGCGGCCGCGCGCGGACCGCGGATATAAATCGACCGTTTTCCCCGATTTCTTATCGCGTGGACGCGGCGTGCACCTTCTGCGACTTCCGATTACGCGTCCGATTACAAGTTCTCGCGAAGAAACAATGGCTTTCGCCTGAAGAAACACCGGATGTCGCGCGATGCACCTTCGCCTATTCAATATCGCGTAAAAGCGCAACGAAGCGTAATTGGTCCCGTGATTCGTCACACGGCAACATCACGTTTCGCAGAGATTATGTCTTGTTGAACGAAAATCGATTCGTTTTAATTACTCTCGTGGCAAAGAAAGGAAATGTTTTGGAGTTTCTTGGAGAGAGAGAGAGAGAGAGAGAGAGAGAGAGAGAGACGAGGAAAGGAAGAGGAAAGGGAAGCGCGTTTAATAGAAAGTGAGACTAGCGCGTCTCGTATTTCCCATTAAAAAAAAACTCTTGATCTTAACTTTTAATTAGGAAAAAGTTCTATTTCGTCTATCAAGATTATTTCTAGGTTGATTTCCTCGACACAAGTCAATGTATATCATTGCTAAGATGAAGACAAAAACTCGGCACAGCGTTCAAGTTCGAATCGGTAAATTATTATTAAGTATACGTTCGTTTTATTATACTTGACTTTCTGCACTCAGATTACTCACAGAAACAGGCATTGGAAATCGAGAACCAAAGATTTGTTTCTCTTATTTACACCTTTTTTAAAACATTTTCTGAAATGATGGATGTTTACTGGAACACGGGAGGGGAAAAAGCAAAGAGTAGCGCAGAAAGTGCAAGTGCGAACCGCCAATCAATCCTAATCTAATCGAGAAAGTGAGAGATTCATTTTACATTTTATTTTCATAAGTTAACGACGTCTATGAAATTGGTACGAAGTTATACGTACGGTATATGTATGAAGTTGTCAGCAACATTGCGCGCGAATAGAGTGTCGCGCAGTAATTTAGCCGCGGAGACGTCCGTATATAATATCGTGGAGATTGTGCGCTCACCCGGTCGTTACATCATCGGTCTTGAACGCCCGGACCGCGGGCGTCGTCGCGCGCGCGACGCTAAACTCCTCCCGCGGCGGGGAGGAGGGGGGCCATGTTTTGTTTACCAACGCGAGCGGCGCGCGGCTCCTCGCACGCACCGACGCAGCAACGCTAGGCGAAGTGTGGCGCGAGGAAGGAGGAGGGGGGGGGCGCGGCGCGACGGCGGCGGGCGGCGGTTAGTTAGTGGTGGCCGGCGCGACGGCGGACCGCGTGGTAGGAGGCTGCCGCGATTCAATTTCAGTCGAAGCGCGTCAGGCAGACGGAGCGAGCGATCGGCCGAAGGCAGCCCCGAACAGGCGGGATCCTGCGACAGGCGTTCTTCCTTCCGCGCCTCGATTTTCGAATCCTCGAGACGAAAAGAGAGGAAGAAAACAAAAGAGGCCGACTCGTGCGCGTGCCCGCACCCCCCGTATGTCGCGCGCGCGCGGTGCCCCCGCAGGTGCATGAATGTAGCTACGTGTGGCCGCGCGTCGTCGGCTCTCTTCGCACGCCTTCGTCCCCTCCCCCCCGTCCTCCTCATTCAGCTAATTTCATTCGCGGCGAAGGAGGCTCGTGTGCATGAGTGTTTTACCTCCAGCATCCAGTCAGTTTTTACGTCGCACGCGCGCGCGCGCGTTGCATCGGTGAGAGAGATCGCCATCCGGGACTGTAATTCGGGTGCGAGATATACTTCCGAGTCGCGGAGCGGAGAGCGCGAGTCGTACGCGGAGGGGCACAGACAGCGCGAGTCGATTTTGAAACCGGCGGAAAATGCAAATGGCGGCGAAATTGTTGGAGTATCTACTTGAAGTCCGCGCCGGCCTGTGCGGACCAGTGCGCGCGATCAGTGATGAGTGAACCGTGACCGGGATATCTCGTTTCCCGTGCGAAACTTGGAGCTTTCGAGATGGACATTGGACGAGGGCACGACGTTTATTCGAGTAATCACGTAACTGCATAACCGATACGACGCGCGATACGACGACGACGACGACGCCCGGTTGTATGCCGTCATCGTGTGTGTCACCATGAGCGGCGAGAGCGGCTGGTGAGGAAGGAAGGAAAAGGATTCTGATCGAGTGTGAGTTCGATCGAGAATGGAATTTGGGAGCTACAAGGGCGCGGGACCCCGCGTCAGGCTGCGCCGACGTGCGGAATTGGGCAGACGACTCACCAGGAGGCTGTCCCTCGTCGCGAAAATGCCGGCTGCGATTCTCAGCAGGGCGAACCCGCCGGAGCCGAGACCGGTCGAGATCACGGCGATTGCACCTGACAAGACGCAGCTCACGGTGAGTAAAGTGGTCCTGTGTTGACTTATAAATGTGCCCGTTGATATCGCCCGAGCGATATACAGTCCTCGCTGATCATTAAACCTTATTCGTGGTAATTGAGGGATTTGATACACAGAAGTGAATGAAGATGAGGTCGATGTATTTAACAGTTAATAAATATTTAATTGACTAACTTCAATTCAATTAACTTAAGTTTGTTTGTTTATAATTTAATTAACTAACTTTGCGATAAATAAATCGTAATAATATCGTAAATGTGTACATTGATGACGACGTAAATTGTCTAGTGAGAGAGTCTTTAAACAAATATTTAAAATACGTTCTGCTAGAAAATTTCACGGGAGTCAAAATAATTGATACGGACACAACTACTTGTTATAAAGTTATAACAAATATCGGCTTTGACCTCGAGCGTTGAGTATTCCGCTCGTCGCGCGAACTGTGAAAGTACACTTCCGACATAATTATAAACAGAACCGATTGCAGGACGTACAGTATATTGTTGTCGCGGTTTTTTTTACATTTGTTCGTCGTTGACATTGCGAAGAAATACAAGCATAAATTTGAATCAGGAAGCCGGCGCAAAAATTCCAAGGTAGAAATTGAAACGGAGCCGCAGACTTCGGCGATTAATGTAGCGGCACGTACACATCGAGCTGTGTAAATGCTACACATTATATTACGGGAGTAAAAGGTGTTACCTTCGGTATATTTCATGTTCTCTCTCCGCAGGGAAATTCTCCGCACGTCTCGTTCTCGTATCTCGCGGTCCGCTGATTCGTACCGCTTTCGCGCGCACATTGTCAAATAAGTATCTTTGCAAAATTCGCATCCTGCTTTCAAAACCGTGATTCATATAATCGATGCAATTTTCAGACATAAAGATAAAAAATCGATAGTTAAATACCTTATACGAAAAAGATGCTGCAAGCGCGAAAAGTGCAAATCGCGTCGATTATAATTATTTCGAATGACGAATGTCGCATAAAAATTCTGAAGGAAGAGGAAGACGTAGGAAACCGGAAAGAGATTGCGGAGAGACATATTGACAATGAAAATTTACGTTGGGATCGATATACGCGTATTCTCACGGCTCGCGAGTGTGAATCGAGTGGAATTATTTCGCGTGTCGCGGATAAAGGGAGCACCGCGGATGCGTGCGAATTAATGCATGTAACGTCGTTTTCACACTTGCTCCTTCACGCGCGGTGCACGCGAGGAAGCACTTTTATCCGGATGCCATCGAGGAGCGAGAGAGAGAGAGAGAGAGAGAAATAAATCTCCAGCCTCCCGATACACGTCGGCTTCTCTCGCGCGTTTCCGCCGCGATCACACGGTGAAGGAAGTTGCCGGATACACGCTCGATCGCGCGGCGAAGGAAGCGCGTCGGCGTGGTACGTACGTACATACGCGCGTATTATTGCGTCGTTCGCTGAACCCCGACGTCTCTTCGCGCGTAATCGGTCGTAAGAAGGAAAGCGCGATCGATGACCGGTGCTTTCTATCCGCGCGCGAAGTGACGAGTGACGTGTCTCTCCCTCTCTCTCTTTTTTTTTGCCTTTTTTTCCGTTACGATCCGTCGCGAATCTCGGATCTCGAACTGGGTCGGCGAGTTAGCGTGGGTCGATGTAAAACCGATTCGATTTTACGGCGCACACATAAATGCTGCACTATCGACAAGCACGTCGATTGATTATTGCAGTCGCGATTATGGCCACTTCTCCTTTCCCGCGAGCTAGTACTTTTGGACTTGATCTATTTGCTCACAGAGGCATCTGAATGTTTTGCGAGTCACGTTTTAGCCATAGATAATACAAAAATGTTTTGAAAATATAGTTGTATAATTTCGAGAGAGCTTAAGTGAAACAGCTAGAAACAGTGTCGTTCTTTCGAGTCTAATAATTTTATATAGAGAAATAATTTTTTTGAAATCCGGATTTATTAGATTTGCTATTACGCATTGCGTAATAGACACTTTTATGAAGAATTTAGTTTTTATTCTAAAGGGGCAGTTGTTGAAGATGATTACCGAGACGCAATATCAAAGGCATTGCGACGTATACAAAACTTACAAGTCAACTTACGAGCTAATTTAGATCACCCCGCAATAATTAGCACGTTTGGCGGTGCGGTCGTAATAAAAATAATCAAGAGACGAGTTAACGGTATCAGCTATATACACCCAGGTACTTAAAGTAGATTGCCGTTTCGCAATTCACTCGTAACTCTAAGCGTACGGATAATTGCGACGCGGCTACGCGCCGACGCATTCGTGCAAAAGAGTAAAAGTCCGCGGTCAGTTAAATGCCGATATTCAACCGCAGAGGGTTAAAGGAGATTCTATACACAGCGCGCGCACGTGCGTTTGTGTGTGACACGAAACGGTAATCGCCAATATTATCGCTAATACCGCGCGGCGGACCGTTGAGCCGGACGAGCTCTTAGCGAGATCTCCCGACGATCGCGTGATAAGTGGTACGCGTGATTTACGTTGTAATTACGTCCGATAATGTCTACGTCTGCGTATGTGCGGGCTGCCCGCAGAAAATTGTTCGTTATGATTTCTCACTGTTTCCCTTTTTAGCCGAAGGTATCTCTAAGATTTTTCTATCTCGGGATATGCGTAACTCTGGCTAAAATTAAAACTTTTCCATTCCCATTGAATCGAAGAAACATTGTACTCGAGATTTGCAGCGCGAATTATCAATTGAAATACAGCTATAGAATTACTAATAGTTTAAAAATTTCTTAGATTTTGGGTTTTGGATTTTAAAGAAATTTAACATATCGAGTTTACAATGAGTTATTAGAAACATACTGCTTTTTCTTTTGAACAACGAAATCGAAAGCAAATATTAGAAGATACTTCTATATTAATAAGCGTTCATGGTTTTCGATCGTATGTCTATTTCCCATGTCAATATAAAATACGTTTTGTTACGCAAGAATGTCAACAGCAAGGCGAAATCTCGCTGCTGTCCTTGATGGCAAGTTAAGACGTACTCGTAAATCTCTATAGTCTAATCTTTGCAGCTATCTACGAAAGTATTTGAAGTATCCTGAAATATTGGCGCGTATTATAAAATGCAAGCGCGTTCGACGTTTCCGCAGTCACCTAATTAGTTGCACAATTATGTCGCGTTGTCCCGGTGACGGAAAAGCCATTATCGATGAATTATATCCCGCATAAATGGTGTCGCGTGTGTCGCATAAGATACCTTGATATATTGCGGATAAAGATAATCCGTCTAAAATATAGCAGAGATTTATGAAATGGATCACGCATACATATATTACGTCTCATGTAAATTCCTTAATTTTCGCGTTTATTCTGCACACAATCTGTCTTCGCAAATAAATTACGTTTATCTTTTATAAATTTCCATAAATTTTTGCATAATATAAACGTACTCTAGACTGTACGAGTCCGATGAAAGTATATGTCTGAAGCCTGCACAAATGCGGGTATTCTGTAATGCGACGTAAGGTGTTTTTATATTGGTCATAAATATCATAGAAGGAGAGAGAGAGAGAGAGAGAGAGAGCGGGTATATTGTGCATCCTTCGCAAACATTATTTTTTTCGGCTAATCGACGCGCGAGGAATACTTAAAGGTTGTTGACCCGCGTCGCCCGCGAACGCAAAATTCACTTTCGATTGCCGAGAGGGAAGCAAAGCGATATTAATCATCTTTTCTTGATCATGTCAGGGCCGATTACGTCTTCGATTTTTTTCACTGTTTAACTCAGGATAGCCATCATCATCAGTTAAGATAGGAAATCTTTTTATTTGCATAAACTATAATACACTGCTCAAAAAAATTATGGCATAGAAAAATTTTGAGCAAAAATTGGTCAACTTTGGTTAACGGTAACTCCGCGAAAAATCATCGTAAAATGATGAACTTTTTTTCAAATGAAAGCTTGAAATCTCTACTTTAAGATACTGTGAGTCGATTTTAAATTTAATGCACCCCTGTTGCTGTAAACTCTTAAATCTAATAGCATGTTTGCCACACTGAAAATTGCAAAGTTTGAACGAGAGATCGGAAGAGCACACGTCTGAACTCCAGTC